TTGAATTATTGATTGACATCTAAAATATACATTTATTAAAAGGGAGGGAAAAAAAAAAAAGAAGCCCTTCTATGAGAGAATAAGTGAACAATGATATTTTCGGAGAATGTGATTAAAAAATAAGGAAATTATTGAAATTGTAAAAAAAAAAAAAAAATTGTTGAAGAATGTATGGTTGAAAATAATTAGCATTTTAAAAAATCACTTCCATACAAACACTAAATAACAACTGGAAAAATTAAATTGAAGAACTAAAAGAAAATTTATTAGTGTGTGGAAAAAAAATTTAATTAAAATTTAAGGTCTCAATTATTACAAGATAATTTTTAAAAATATAAAGACTCATCCTATTCAAGCCTTGCATCAATGAAACTCGATCATTTGAATTTTCTATTGCAAATACGAGCCCTCATGTGATTAAAATGATCAATATGGATGTTAAAACTGAATAGGACTTTCAGCTAAATTGGAGAGAAGTGTTAAATTATCGGCTGATAGTTTAGCCCTCTAGCTTTAATTATTCATGTGAATTAAGTCGCTTGCGATTTTATCCTCCAGATTGATGGTTACGTAGAGACTCAAATTCACATATTGAAGTACGATGGGGACAGATCCTCATTTTGAAGGTTAGAGATCCAATAACAACATAACATGAAAAGTCGAGGAACGTAACCTTAGTTTACCCTGATTTATGCAATGTAAAACGTTACAAATATTCACCTGTAAACAGAATTTAGCATTCTTTCCCAAAGCAAAATATTATCACCCTCCTGAAGAGAAAAGGCAGGGGAGATCATCATTGACCAGTGGAAATGTCACTGTTAATACGAAATTCAAGATGAAAACGACTGTTCATCTCTACAAATCAATGCTAGCATAAAGTAAATATCACGCGTACCAAACATGAATTTCTCATTGATACTTGTGTTATCATCACCCTCCTGAAATCTGCTTCTTTCTTTGTTCAAATTGTTAACTGGGGCCCTTCAATTCTAATGCTAACTGAACCTTATCTCCTCAAACCCTATCTCGTGTGTGTGTGTGTGTGAGAGAGAGAGAGAGAGAGAGAGAGAGAGAGAGAGAGAGAGATTGCAGATCATTTTCATAAAATGTTATGTCCTCGAACACGCGTGGGCTTCGAGTTAGAGGTTGAACCCCAACCTTAAGGGCCCCCACCGACCCTGCCCTGGGCCATCGTGGAGGAGGTAAATCACATGATATGCCTCCCAGAAACCAGGATGGAGAGCATATGGATAGGCCAAGGCTGTTAACCCATATGGTAACTCCCGCTTGCAACAAAGTCAATTCCACCTTGCGGGGAATCGAACTCTGCACACTGCCGCGCTGAGCCCTATTCGTCCTCCCCTTTGCCACTTCGAGTTGATTCAAATAGAGAAGTGTGAAATTCGTACAGCATTTAGGTAACTCTTGTATGTATTGCTTGCTTTGCATGTGCAAGTGACAGGCGTGCACACCCTATATATTTTTTTTTTGATCGATGAATGTAAAATTTTATAAATTAAAATATATTTACAAGTACACCGAGTATATTTGGACTATCCAAGATCAAAATAAATACAAGTACACCAAGTATACCCGAATAAACAAAATAAAGATGTACGAACAACAATCTAATGACCCATTGCTAAAGATTCAAACAGAATCAAAACATTCAGATAAAAGTAAATATAGATTTGTATATGTGTATTTTAATCATTCTTACGATAGAAGCGTGTGTGGTGGTACCACATTAAATCTAAGATTTTCAACTTCAAGTCCTTGTGACCATTCCATAATATTTCCATTTTTTTTCACGTTCTAATGCTCATGATATATATGTACAAGTTACTTGAACAACAACATAAATTCGTAGTTCAAGAGCCCTAATAGCAAAACGTTTATAGCAGATAAAAAAGAAAGAGACTTTGTTTGGGGCTTTATTTTCGATTTTTCCAAAACTAACTTAAAATACAATTAAGTGGGTGTTTGACATCTATTTTTATGTAAAAATAAATTTTAGAATAATAGATTGATGGAGGATAAGTGAATGAAAAATGTATAGTTAAAAAGAAGAGAGAGAAAAATGTATTTTGATAAAAATGAGAATCAAACGGACCTTTAAATTTGTGCGAGTTTATAGAATTCCTAGCGTACCAAATGTATGATGCACATTAGGTGTAGACTTTTTTAAGAAAGTTACAAGAATATTTTGGTTGCTATTGCTTAGACGACCATCAGCAATAGCTAGAGATGTGTTGTGTTCAAATCACCTGTCATGCTACACCATTTTACAGTACAGAAAAAGCATGTCTTTTCAAGAAGATGAAAATTAAGGACATGCATGCATTCACAGCAAAGTTTGTTTTGGTATATGTTTGATACTGACCATCATCTTCTGCTATGACCATAGATGGTAATCAGCGTGCCACCGGACATTGTTCCAACTATAAGATAGGAGGAAGAATCTTGTAAGTTTGTTGCAATAATACTATGGTGTTTACCAAGTTTTATATTAGTTCTGCAATTGTTTATATATGATTAATTTGTTTTTAAGTTTTTACACATGAATTCGTTCATTACGATATTAGTACGAAGAAATGTAGTGAATTTCTAAGAGAATCATGTGAAGTGTCTTAGAAATAATTAGTATTTGTGCAATATGTAAATATTAGTGACGCAAGTAAAGTACGTGTGAATAAAATTGAAGGATTCTTATGGCATTTGACAAGCTTGTAACTGTAGAATAAAGTAAAGTGGTGTAATTGTTTCTTACTTTTGATCAAGTTTGTAATATTTGTTATGCAAACTTGGTTTTGAGTCTATGTAAGTTTTAGAATTAGGTCGTCTATAAAGAGAGTCATTGGAGATCATGGTTATATCATGAGAACGAATCATGGATCATCTAGCTAGCCTTCAAACCTTGTTTTACCAATCAAATAAAAAGTTATTTTAGGTATCAATCCTTACATCTCCTACTACTGGTGGGATCAAGGGTGAACCTAGATCTTTTATGTTTTTAGGGTCAAAAATGAAAGTGTAATTTTTATTTATTTATAAATAACGTAATATTAATGAATATAAGTTAATATGCATTTTGATACTTTGAAAACGTTTTAAAATTATATCATTATCAATATTGTTAAATGGATTTTGTTACTTGTATATTTTTGTTACCATTTCGTTGACATATTTTGAGTTGACGACAAGTAAATCAAATTGAATGTAGGAGGTAAATAAATTTAAATAAAATACACATTTAATTTAGGAAGTAAATAAAATTTAAATTTAATGCAAAAGAAATTCAAATTACATTTAATTCATAGTGATCTTAATATTTTTGACGTCATATTTCATGTAAACTTTTTCAATAAAATAATATAAATTATATTGAATATTTTATTGTGCAAAAATAATAAAAATTAATGAAATAATTGAAATTTTTTAAAGAAAAGACGAGTTAGACACTTCTTTTAAGACATAAGTTCGACACATATTTAATTATTTTTTTATATCCGCTTGGACCATTCAATATGACTACGACGTAATTCTTGACACAAGTTTCTAGATGACGTAGAGATTTGTGAATTCAGATAGTATATGATCATCGAAGAATTATGGTTGGACGTTTTGCACGTCATTAACGAGCAAAAAACTAAGCCATGAGCATTCAAATGGTATTGAGAGTGCAACATTTCGACTTCATTATGTATCTTGTAATGAATGCGTCAAAGTATATTTTAGAGGTGTCAAAACAACTATTTTCTAAAAAAAAAAAAAAAAAAAGGACCAAAAATTTTGTGGGGTCATTTGATCCCACATGACCCCACATGGATCCACCCCGAGGTGGGTTTGATCAGATATGACCAAAGGGAAAATGAATGCTTGTCAAACTCAAGGGCAAGGCTATTGATGATGTTTACGTCGGTCTCGTAATAGCTCTCCAAGCAAACAAACAACATATTTCTTTTATAATATCAAGTGTTCTATTTTGTATGTTTAAGTTTTTGTGATCTTGTTATACCTCCTTGGTAAGTTGCATTGCGTCTTTAAGAAACAACTGCCATACTTAACCAGTGTTGGGAAGGTTTTGTAAATGAAAAAAAAAAAAAAAAGTTGATATTCTTTTTTGTTTCATGTCAGTACTTTGAGATTTTTCATAAATCAACAAATTCTTAATATTTTAAATTTAGAAAGTTCTGAGAATCATTATTTTTCAAAGTATTAATTGGTAATTCCGCTGCATCAAACATGTGGAAGGTATTAAACTTTTGGTAATTTATATCTTATCATTATGCCTTGAAACTCAGTACAAGAGCTCTTTTACATATGTGCAAAAATTCAAAGAATCCTTCATTTATCACCTTTTGTAGTTCTGTGCATTGACCGTTTAAGAGATCCTATTGCTTGATATATCAAACTTATAACTAGAAAAATTGATCTTGCATAATCAAATTCATTGTAGATCAGCTTGGTGAGAAATGAAGAAATGTAGCCCATTAAGAGTGACTTCAGAGCTTTCGTACCATTCCATGGCCCAACGGAAACATTGATCCATTTTTGCACATTGATCAATCGGGTCGGAATTAAATGCCAAATAATTTTACTTTTTCAAGAGAAAAGGCACTCAAGAGTCGAACAAAAGTTATCATCATATACAAAAATATTTCGAGGCTTTATCAATTTTGATTTGGATTTTCTCAAATTTTTGTGTCTAAATTCTCGATTTTCTGTGTTAATATACTAGTGCATGCCTATTTTTATAAATTCTCGATTTTCTGTGTTAATTCTCGATTTAACCGGCACTCTTAAAAATCAACACCTAGACCATGCATTCTTTCAAAGATAGAAAATTATAAAATCTTGTTTATTGTACCGTGTAATCCTTTCTATTATTTTGCACCAAACACAGTTTAGTACATCAAATATAGGTGTATCAAATGCAGAACTTGCCAATATATTCTGTAATCCATCAGAAAAGGTTCAAGGGAACAAGAGAAATATGATTGAAATATCAGGAATGTTATAGACATTGGGTGCTTTTATTTGAAAGTAGTAGTAGTAGTAGAACAACTGAGTAGCTCTCAGAGAATAAAAGATGAAGTAAAATGCACTCGTTGCATAGTACAAATGATTCTGCACCCTTCAAATGTAAAAACCAAATCACAAAAGCTAGACTCCAGGCAAACTGTGACAGACATATAAATTGCATAATCTCCAATGTTTACACTATCTAGGACTCGGGTCTCAACCATTTCTAGAGCTTGAAACCTATGCACAATAATCTCCTTCCAGTTGATAATAAAACTGATTCTGAATCTGTAATGCTCAGTGATACAACTGAAATTCGGATGTTTCATGCTCAATCAAGATAAATAAATTCAGACAAATCTACTGTTTCTCGACCTTCGATGAGCTAAAGTTGAGATTTACCAACTGAGCGGCTGCACGAGCAGCAGCTGATGCACGCTCTGCTGCTGCAATGGCAGTGCGAGCCCTTAACAACACATCTGAATTTGTGTCCTTGGTTTCAGTGATTGGTTTCACATTATGATCCTTGATTAATGGTTCAATTCTACTCGGAGCTACCAAAGGTGTGAAAGATTGAAAGTACCGGTCCCCTTGTTTACCATTTGTGGAAGCTGTAGAATGTTCTTGATTGGGTTGGTCTTCTCTAGTATCCAGCCTCGAATATACTTGAGGAGGTGCAGCTATTTGCTTTGGTCCATTCTACAAAAGCACAAAGAAACATAGGGGTATGAAGTGATTTTATTAAGGAACTGAAGGAGATGAAATTAGAAAGGCGAAAATGTAGAAAAAACGACAGAGAGCTTCGAGTTTATTTTATTTTTTAGTTTTCTGGAGGGAATTAAGGAGAAGGGAGGAACTAATCCTCGAATTCTTAACCTCAGTTGTGGAAACAACAATCCTTAAACAGAACAATTGTATCATTGAAAAGTAGATGAAAATACTTTTGTTAAATCATTGATAATTAATGAAAACATCAGCATATCATTGTTAGCGCTTTCATCAATGAACCCTTTGAATGAAAGACTGGACTTGAGTCTTATTTTATGTGTTGTGTGTTAGTCAATGAAGATAAAGAAACATAACAAGCACCCGGCAATATTAAGCATCCCTCTTACCAGCATTGCAGCATGAATTGTTTAGCTCCCATTTCCATTTAAATTTCACAAACATTGTAGCCAAATGTTTGGGAATGAGAAGAAACCAGAATAACCTTTTACTATTATTCTCCTATTTGCACCCCCAACACCAACCCCCAAATAGAAAAGAAAGAAACAGAATATACTCAATAGAAAAAGTCCAGTCAATCAGCTAGGTTGCAACATAATATAGAGAAACTAATAATAGGAAGATACCAGAAGATCCTCCGATTTTTTACTGAATTCTATTTCAGTTTTAGAAGAGTCCCAATTCACATTAAATTCTGCTGCAATTTCTTTCAGCGTACTGAGCTTTACTTCAGACGACGGAGCACTCACTGATAGTTTCTCAATTATCTGAAAGATCAAATAGATGAATCTAATTTAGAATGGAGAAAGAGAACCAATACATTAAAAGCATGAGCTACAGTCAATTAACTGTACGATTGACACTAGTATCAGGGCGAAGTTCAGACGCAGCCGATATGAATTCTTTTCCATATTTAGCAGCAAACAAATTTCTGACATGTAATAGATCTGGCAAATCTGAACATCTGGGGGCAGCAAAGATTATGCTTGCAACTGCTTCCTGCAACTCTGCAGGACATTCCCTGTTTAATTAAGAAATGGAATGACATTTAGTGACACCAGAAAAAAAAAATGGAAACTAGAACTTGCCAACTTCACAATTTTAACCAAAACTACTGGCTACATCATAATCTGAACAAATCGATAACTGCTCTAATTTAAAATACAAAATTAATAAAATAAATGCTGGAAATATTTCATCAATCAAGGATAGAAAAGAAGGGAGAAAGAAAACTATTGATCTTCATTGATGGTCAGGGATTCTAGAAAGATAATATATAGAAGTAACATGCATGAAGATTTTTATTATATCTGTTGAAGAAAATGAATTTCCAAAAGAAATTTAGTTACTGTTAGATCATAAATATGTGTTGTCTTCAGAGAACCAAAAGGGAAAAAGCATCTTTAAACTTCGATGAGTAGAAAAAATTCAGAGTATCGTAAAGAACCTTGGAAACAAGATTCAGTGATATAATATTATATGAAACCCATACTTCAGGGTGTAAGTGATCCTTCATCTTTTCACTTTCAATACTATGTCCATGGAGAAAAATGTCTATATGTTATCCATGTAAAACATTATTAGAGAGTAGCTATAATTAACACTGAACAAGTTTTCCTGCTACAATAGTGTAATAATAAAGAAATCAAAGGAATATAAGAAAAAAGAAACAACTGTATGTGCATTTTACACTGTTCAGGTCAGCATAGTCTCCCATGTTCACGGTTGAAATCAACAGTGAATTCTTTCTATTGGGGCCAACATGGATATCTAGAACCCTCCCTCTCGCAAATGTCAACCTCTGAACTCAATCTGACAATGTAAATCATGATAATTGACCCTAACAGAAGCCCATAAAGGGCTCAGATCCATACATTGGACCAACGATCCAACACTCACTTTCTTTCCATTTAGAAACCATTAAGGTTGAAAACTGGGCTGCTATCATTTGTGACCCAAATACTAGTCATCACTTTTATATAATCCAGTCAACTAACAAGCCCTGAATATAAGATCAAGAAAAATATTATTTTACTTCTTTCTATCGATTATCAATCAAGACAAGTAAACAGACAAGAATTCATCGACGTTGTCACCCCATGACAGAGTCAAAACTTCCTGAATCTCCCACATCTATGAAATATTCAGCCTCCATTTCCAGCACTGTTTACCAAAAAGATTATCTGCACAAGGTGCATTCTTGTCTTCATGCCAAAATCAATCTGTTAAAAATGTAAGTTCATTGCTGATTAAGACTATTTCACTTGATTTATTACATTATCGGAATAAGAGCATCCTATACTGCATCCAAAAAATCAACTGCCAATTTTAGAGTCCATTAAGTATTGTTTCTTTACATAAAGTTTAAGAGTCAATGGCACTTCAACAATTTTCAGTTTATCAGCATGTTTAAACATCAACATTAGTTGAGGACTTTATTGTTGCTTGAGCTATAATTAGAGCCTCAAGTAGCCCATGATTACTCTTTCATTACTTTGTCAG